CCATGAGCGTTATGGCAACTGATTGTTTATAGTCATTTAATGTGATCAAATTGTAAACCTCCAAACCGGCGGGGCTTCTCGCTTTCTATCTGCCCGATGAAATTGAACAAACACTGCCCCATTTCATTTCATCTCCGATTCCATATGCGCTGATGAATACTACTGCAATTTCTCCCTATCACACCCTCCTTGTTCACCTTCAGTTCGCTTCTTGAAACCCAAACTCATTCAAAACTAAACTCAGAACCACCCGCTTTGTAAACTTCTCATTTTCAGTCAAATGCTTCTCAAACAGCAAACCGCCATGCCCACTTCGAATTGTCCAGTCTTCTGTTGTTAATAATAATACGAAGAATTGAACCAAAGGAAAGGATATTCCCATCCAATTTAAATCAATGCAATGACAAGAATGCAGTTGGCATTGGGAAGCTGGTTGTGTATGCATTGTTTTTTATAGTTTTCGGATTATTCTGCCCGGTTTCAGGGTTCCGACAATCTGCTTTTGCAGCTGTTGCTACACCTTCAGCGGTTATGCGGGGATTATTTGGGAGGAATTAAGGGGCGAAGAGAAAAAGGAAAAGGGTCACAAGTAAAATTGGACTCGGAAACTATTAGAGATCGTAGCGCCGCTGCTTAAGACAATAGAGGAGAACAAAGGTTCTGGCCAAGAGGATTTTGAAAATTTCCAGGATGCGTTAAAGGAGGTCAAAACAACAAAGAAAGTTTTGCAAGATGGGATTAAAAAGGGGGGGCTTTATGCTGAGTTTAGTGTTTTGAACAGGGAAATGGTGGAGCTGATGAAGAGCTCTGAGGGGATTGAGGATAAAATATTGAATGTGAAGAGGGAGGAAGAGAGTTTGACAAGGAAAGAGAAGAAAAAATACGAAAAGGAAGCGAAAAATAAATGAAAGATTGATTATGACATTATTGAATGATGACCATATCACTTAGCACACATTTAACCCTACTTATAATAAAATAAGGGTAACAATTCTCCACTATTTTGTGACTAATATCTATTCAAACATCAAATACCGGATTAACAACTTGCATTTCTTTTTTAATTTGAATTTAACAAGCTTATCATTCCAAGATTTTTTGGTATCCTTATCACTTTTTGATACTTATCACTTGTTTGATCCTCATCATTTCTATTGCCAAATGTGTGACATTTCGAACATCCCGCCGCAAACCATGTTGGGGCTGAAGGCACAATTTGTTTTTGAAAAATTGAAAGCTGTCGTGGACATTTGGTTTGGTAAAGAAGCCAACAATGATTTTTATCTTCATTCCTGTGAAGATATGTCATGTGTACATAAACATTTCAAATGCATCCCATACTGCATGGGTTGTGTTGAAGTCTTTAACTAGTTTGAGGGTTTCTTCAAACTGTTGAGATGATCCAACCATGAATGAGGGGATCGGACTTCCACAAGGCAATGGATTTGTTAATTTTGGTGTGAATTTCTTTTTTTTCTTTTTTTCTTTTTATAATTGTTTGGATTTGATGTGTTGTATTTGGTGGGAATAAGGTTTTTCATTGGTGAAATGATCAACCTAATCTTGAACTTATTTGTCAATTTTGGTATGAAATTTGTCGCTTTTGTTGTTTTGTTTGGATTTAGTGGGATGTATTTGATGGATAAGGATTAATGAGAGATCTGTGTAAAGGAGTTGTCGACATTTACAAATAGTAAAGTGATAGCGGAGGAAATGAATTGTAGTATGCTAAGTGCGTACAATGGCTCTAATACCAATAAGAAAAAATACGAAAAGGAAGCGAAAAATAAATGAAAGACTGATTATGACATTATTGAATGATAACTGTTCACGAAATATTTTCTTTCGATTTTAAACCACCACAAGTGTACGGTTCGTTAACAAATAATAAAGTGGATTCAATGAGTCCGAATATCGTCCCACAGAGATTGATTAGTTCAGATTTTATCTAACGTAGCCTTAACCGAAATTGGATTGTCAAAGTGGATGTGGACCTAATTAAAACTCTAATTTCAGAAAGAAACCCTAATAACGCAAATTTAATGAATAAATTGAAATTAAAACTCAAAACAATATTTTAACACTCTAGAATAAACTAAAAGTTGAGAACTCACGTTGTTACAATCAATAGAATTTAAACACACTTGGATGACGATTTTCCATGCAATTATCACTTTAAACCATAGTTTCACAATATAACAACACACTTCAATTGTGACGAATCAATGTTCCTGAGTCTATCCAATACTCTCTCTCGAGATGTATCAAACCTATTTCTACACACCACCGACATATATTTCTATGACAAGAGCATATGTAAAAATGCATGCGATTTTATGAACACTTAAAGATTCACGTAGGGTATAGCGGTATATTTCTATCCACTATCGGACCCTAAGATAATTTATAATATGTCAAATCTATTCCAGTTCTCTCGAATGCAAGAATAAATCACTTAAATTCACATAATTACGAGCCTTTATTTTTTGAAACATTAATTGCATATAAATCATTCAAAAAAATAAAAAT